CTATTTATCCTCCACACAACTAAAAGGGACCTCTCAATGCAGTGCCAAATTAGACAAACCATTTCTAACTTAATATAGGCTTGAGCTGTAACTGGGCAGAGCTGCACAACAATCTCATCTGTCATTGAGACATTTCTATAAGCATGGGGAGGAGGTGGATGAAAGGATATGTAAAATATAGGTAGAGTGGTATAGGTCTTATCACTGGCTGATAATGGTCTATATTAATGCCACTGTTGACTGCTGTTCACTTTACATGGTTCAAATGTTATTCTGTTATAGTATATTAAATATTTTATTACACTATTGGGTTCAGAATATATTTTCCCTGTGTTCAGCCTCTAAAAATTAGGTGCGTCTTAAGGTCAGGTGTGTCTTATGGAGCAAAAATACGGTATATTTCTGAGCTACAAACAGTGTCTTGCAATAGGCATTTTTATTTTATTACATTACATTTATACCCTACCCACACTTTGGGAACTGCAGGAAAGGGAGCTTATATCATGGTTTCATTGTCCTCACAACTAATCCATGAATGGTAATGACTGGCCCAAGCTCATCTTGGGACTTAAACACAAGGAGCGGTTCAAACCTGAGTTTCTACTGGGAAAATGAATGTACATTCACACATCATACAGTTATGTATAGCTTGTATAATCTTCATTTTTGTTTCTCCAGTCTTAACTGAAATTATTCATTCTGCAAGTACTTTTCAGCTACACATTCTGTTCTGTCGTGCTCATCACAATATCTTTATTCATTGTTTGCTTTGTTTTATAAAATTTCTGTTCCCAGAAGTCCTCCCAAGGTGGCTTCCAAATTGAAAATGCAAAAATTTAAAAAAAAACAGAGATAAAAGTCAATGTAACATACCCGTTAAACTATTAATGTAACAGCATGATGGGGCACAAAGCATTTGGGTCAATATAAAAATACATTGTCCCAACAGGAAGTTTATTTGTTTCTAACATGATTACTCACCCCATCACGAGGAGCTCTCCAGGTGATCTATAAGTAAGTGCAAATAAAATCTGAGTCAGCTAATGAGATAATTGAAAAAAATCAACTGAAAAAGCAGTCATATAAAAGCATCAGAGACTAAAATAAGTACCACAAGAACTTGTAAAAATATCAGCCAAAATCCTGTAATTTACGCTCACCTGTGTGAACTCCAACAGTGTAACTTTCAGCACTGCATTGCCACCTGTTACAAAATTGATGCCTGTTTTTCCTGTCACACAGTGGTTGTGTGGCCTGGTGCACAAGAAGAAAACAAAAAGTCAATTTTTTGACTGGAGGCCATTCAGCGCTATGCATTGTGCTATGGGAGTTCTGCTAAAAGAATTCTGGCCATCATGGAGAGAAAATTACTTAAAATATATGGTTGTTGTGGGTTTTTCGGGCTCTTTGGCCGTGTTCTGAAGGTTGTTCTTCCTGACGTTTCGCCAGTCTCTGTGGTCGGCCTTTTCAGAGGACTGGAGTAGGAACTCTGTCCATGCTCTGTCCCTAAATCTTTAAAATTCCAAATTTTTAATCGAAACGGCTATAATTCTGAATGCCAAAGCTGAATTCCAAATCCAAATTTTAGTGCTAGTGCACATTCCTTCTTTTATCTACACATATTACACTTTAACTGAGCCGCCTTTGTGTCCTCTAAGGCGTCATTTGCTGTTATCAAATACAAATAGACATATCAAGCATATAGGCAGGGTTGAAAATGTAATAATAATATGGCAGAGGAGGAACCTGGACATTGCTGAATAAAACTCTTGAATCGATGATTGCCAGAATACAACTCCTATTAGATACAATAGGCCTTATCAACCTTTAGCTTGTCTGTAAATTAATGTGATTTCCCTGTTTGTTTGGTTTTTTTAGGGGATGTGGAAGTGCAATCCCCCCTACACCACCTGGACGAGGTGCTCAAGCGCCAAGAGGAGCTCCAGTGACACGTGGAGCGCTTGCGGTCCCTCCTGTAGCCAGGGGTGTTCCTACCACTCGAGCACGAGGAATTCCACCTGTACCAGGTTACAGGCCACCCCCTCCCCCAGCACATGAACCCTATGAGGAATATGTAAGTACCTTTTCCCTTACAAATGAAAGGAAGTGAAAGAAATGGCAATGGTTAAATATTGGGTATCTTCGATACTTCCACAAATGCAGTTTTGCAGGTTATGTTTTGAAGAATCCCAGAGTTCACATTTGTCCTGTAAAGGGGTTAGTGATATCCGTGGAGTGTTCGCTTTTTCACTGCATCAACATCAACAGTGGCATTGGGCCACAGCGACGGGGCTCCCAAGCCGCTGCTGTTGCAGGGCTAGAAGCATCATAATGTCGGCCTGCCGTGGTTTCCCTTTGGAATGATTCTTGGGACTGCTTAGTGCAGTATGAATTGAAGCTTGGGATAGTATTTGAAACAAAAAGCCTGACCAACGTTTATTACTAAATGCTCACTCGTGTATTTGGGATATGCTGACTGCTCCAATCATTTCTGGTTTTCTTTGATAGCATTTCAGTATAGAATTGACCAGCGATGGAAGAAATAATACAGAGTTGTTTTTAGTATCACTGCCTCCATAGCTGTATTTTCTATCTAGTTAATGTTCGTCTGATTTTTCCCCCCTCTGGCTTCATATAATACCAGTGAAACAGAGCTGGGGAACCTCTGACTCTGAGCTTGAATTTAGCTTTCCCAGATGCCCAAGTCTGTTTCCTCAGGGCATGATCATTTGGTGACTTCCCAGGTAGTATATTGTTTTCTCTCATTCTAAAACACTGAAATGGCTTTGCAAGAGGCAGTGAGACCTTTACACTTCCTGGTAAGAAGACCTTTAAGCTAGTAGTTTTTCTCCTTATCTTTGGTTCCACTCATCATTTAAACCAATGAAATCAATCATTTTAAATACTGTACTTGCAAAAACTGGATATTCCAAAATCCGGGAATACTTAGCACGTACTCTTGTAAGTTTTAATGCGATATCTTCCTCAATGGGAAATTTAGAAGGATACCCTAGCCAAAGAGACCATGTCCTTGTGCCTGATAGAAATTAAAAAGTCAGTCATGTTTTCCTTTGCTGTAACTTTTATTGAGATCTTCATAATGAGCTCATTAGCCCTCTGCCACTTTGTATCCAGAAAGATCACATGAATATTGTACCTCTTTTTTTCTGTCTGGGATGGAGAAGTTATGACAGAAATAGCAGCCAGATTCTTGCTAAGATATTATCTGAATAGAATCATTTTGAATTTCTGCATTGAATTTTTTGTGAACCTTGTGGATTTTATGCAATCTAACTTTTTTATTACATTTTATCTGTATCTGTTCTGTATTGAGGGCTGTTGATAAATGCACTTCTTCTGTGATAAAATCTATTTAATGTAATGATATTTAAAAGGATAGGTATCTTAAGTCATTTCCTCAGAAGTCATAAATGAAGACATTAAAACAATGCTTTAAATGCCACTGGTCTAACTTTGCAAATACTCAGTTGTTTCAGTTGTCTAAAGTAGGTCAGACACTTTAATAAGCTTTTAAAGATTATTTAAAACAGACTTTTTTTAATTAAATGGGCCTTATTCAAAAGGAATGTTATGGCAATTTTAAAATCGGGGCCGATTACTCTGAAGGGGATCCTCTGGTGTCACAAATGCTTCCACGTGCAAAAAATAAGCAAACAAACCACTTCTGGTTTTGAAAAACAATGGCTGAAAAAATTATAGAAGAGGGTGCTTGTTGGCTGCATGCTTTTACTCATGTTTTAACTACAATTCTTCATTGGTTTGTTAAGCAATTTGTAACAATTCTTTTCCTTGCCATAATGTGTTCCATTGGTTTTAACTGTATTTACAGGAGGGAAGTGGCATAAATATAAACAGGAAGTAAAGAAGGATGTTTATGAGTTGTGTAGGGTTTCTTATTTTACCCCCTTTCCTCCTTTAAAAAGAAGCATAATTTTCTTTTTCAGTTCCACGCAGCATAAAGTGAAGGGCAGTGGACTGTAATAGGGATTTGGCTGTTCTGGCTAGTTAGAGGATGATGAGTCTGATTCATCCAGTGCAATGGGATCTGAAAGCAATCTTTCCTAGTCTGTCAGACTTCTAAAGAGGTTTCTGGGGAGAGAGAGCTTGCTGGCTTGCATGTTTGTTTTAAAGTGCAAATATTCATGTGCTTTGACTCTAATAGTGGTAGCTCAACCTATCTGCTTCTATATATTCCAGCCGAAAATGAAATTCAATCAATCTTTATTTTTGTGGTCTCCAACCCATTAAAATGAAATATTTTAAATACCTTTCCTCTGTATTTCCAAAATCCATATGGAACTGGGTTGAAATGGACTTTGAGGTGGGAAAAGGAAGATGTATGTGGAAATGAACTTAATAGATGGGCCCATCCATAGACATGGAGAGTGTATTAACAATGGAAGGTTGCCATGTAGAAAGTATAAATCATCAATACTACTGAGTATATGCCTTTGTCAGTTGATCTTGGAAAATAACTAGTATGAGCACATGAGGTGAGAAACAAATATATCAGCATGAAGACCTGCTATTGCACTGTCAGATTTGCTCAATGTTATGACTCAGTCTGCAAATTGTTTTTTGAAGGAAGGGTGTCATGACCATCCTACCACTTGTCTCAGTACCCGGTCACTCGTCATAATTCTCTGACGTGCCTCTTGCATGTACCTAGAATATGTACCCAACAGTGCTGTGGCGGGAAGAGACCTCAACTTCAGCTGCCAGTTGCTGTGCCTTATTATGCTGCACACAAAATACCTTTTTAGGCTGACTGGAATTTCCAACTTAATGCTGATTAAAATCCCTTTTCTTTTGAGTGTCACACTGAGCCCAAAAGTGACCTTTCTCCTCACACACATAACATTGTTTACTGGCCTTCGGTTCAGTATAAAGGACCTTATTAACCTTTCCCTCAGAATTATTAGGTTTCAGGGGACTGTGCTCTGGAAATGAGGGTTTGGCTCTAAGGTGGCTTCCATTAGCTTGGTACTTCTGAAGTAATCTCTACTGGATGGGGGCACTCTCCTCCTGTAGTCCCACCCTTTTCTACCATTTTTTACCTCAGAGAATCGAGGATCTCTGATCTCACTAATGTAATCAGCATATTCAGACACCTGTAGCACAGTTCTAGCATCCTTGTCCTTGACCAAATAACATAATTCCCCTGGCAAAACTGAATAAAACTGTTCCAAGCCAAACACATTTTTCCTTTGGACTAAGGAGGTGATCTGTTCCTGTTCCAGCCATTTATTGAGCAATTCCGTCAAACATGCTCCAAGCTGGGCAAAAGACTCCTCAGGTTTCTTGGAAACTGATCTAAATTTCTTTCTGAGGTGCTCTAAATTAATTCCAAATCTGGAATGCACCATTTTACTATATGCCTCAAAATCTCCAGCTTCTTCTCTAGGCATTTGAGAATAGATTTCTTCAAGAGCACCCCCAATCCTAGATCTTAAAATTATCATTTTCTCCTCATCTTTCACTCTGAAGTCCCAACAAGCTCTTTCAAATGAGATAAGAAATTATTCTGGACTACCTCCCTGTTTGTACTGAGGGAATTTTTTCAGATCTACTTTGGATGGAATCGTAGTCTCATTAGAATTACTATTACAGTTGTGCCCACTTAACGATTACCCCATATAACGATGAATCTGCTTCACAACAGTGTTTTTGCAATCTCAATTGCGATCGGAAACCAATGTTTTAATTTTTTTTTTTTTTTCTTTGCGAAGATCGGTTCCCTGCTTCGGGAACCGATTTTCGCTTTACGACGATCAAAACAGCTGAGCATCGAGTTTTCAAAATGGCCAGTGGGTGCTCAAAATGGCTCCCTGCTGTGTTTTTAGATGGATTCCTCGCTCTACAGGCACAAAAAATGGCCCTTATGGAGGATCTTCGCTGGACACTGAGTTTTTCGGCCCATTGGAATGCATTTAACGGTCTTCAGTGCATTTCAATGAGCTTTTTTATTTCGCTTTATGACGTTTTCGCTCTAAGGCGATTTTGCTGGAACGAATTAATGTCGTTAAGCAAGGCACCACTGTACTGTTGTTTTGAGGGGCTAGTTCCATTTTCCTCATTTCTATTTGGAACTGCATTTCTCTGTCTCTTTGCCTTTCTCCGGCCCTTTCTTCCTCCATTTCAAATTCTATTTCCATTGCTCTTTCTACTGCCCTGGCTTTCTCTCTGATCTCCAGTTCTTTAAGCCTGAATTCCTGCTCTAACCTCCATTTTCCAAACTCTTGGGGGCTTGGAACACCTTATCTTTCTGAGGCATTTTCATCAATTTCCTCCTGTTCCATTGGAGCTAGAGGGTCTCCATTTCCCTCCATGGGGTAAACTTTGTGCCCATGACTCCCTTTTTGGCTTCATTTGGGTGGCATGTTTAAGTCTGAGTTAATTAGTCGGACTGAATTATGTCTGTACTGCTTTTAAAAAGGATCTGTCTTTCTGCTGTTTATTCCAGTAACTACGTTGTTCTTGCTAAGCTGCTCTCCCTGGCTGCTTTCCAGCTTACACCCTTTTAGTTACTGTGTTACTTCATCTGAGCAATTCTTGCCCTCAGACACCAAAATAATTTTATTTTCAAGCCTCTGCTTTTTATTATTACCACAGATTTCTTCTAACCCTGGCTTTCCTCTCATCCACAATAGCTCTGTCTCTCTGAGCTCCAGATTTTGGGTAAACTCACTAGGTTTTCCAAATCCTGAGGTAAAAGAAGTTTCCTTTAAGAGTTGGTTCCCTCACTTAAGTTCCCTCTGATCTGGGTTCAGAAGCCCTGCTACTTAAGCTTTTCCACGAACATAAGCTTTTTTTTTAGCAAGTGACCCACTTCTTTACTACAGATCCTAACTAAATAGTTAACCAAGACTCCACAAAATTGACTTTTAAAATTTAGGCTTCGCTGGATTACGTCGGATCACACCGCTGTACACCAATTGTCACAACCATTCTACAAGCTAACACCACTTGTCTCAGTACCCAGTCACTCACCATCAATCTCCGACGTGCCTCTTGCATGTACCTAGATTATGTACCCAATCTCAGGCACCCACC